TATCTCGACTCTCCTTCCTCATCTCCCCCTCTCCTCTCTGTCTTTGAATAATGATGTGTCTCGATGCTTCTCTCCTTCTCTCTCTTTCTCTCTTTTGGATGAGCATGAATCTGTATGCTTCCCTTGCATGAAAAAACTTCTTCCGGAACTCTTCCATTAGTTTCCTAGGTAATCCTCCTACGCAAGGACCCCGTCTTCTTGTCTTGTGAACGATGGATGCGTGTGTACTGAGCAAGCGATCCATCTTTTTCTATGCATGGCTCATTTTTTGCATCTTCCACAGTGGATATATGTATGGAGATGTGTTACCCCCTTTTTTGCGTTGATTAGATGATTATCGTCGGGATTTTGTTCGAGAATGCAAGAGTGTTTAGATTTGTAGATCTGAATGTACTGCGCATGCCATCTGCCTTATGATGCACGACATCAGCAGCCGAGCTACGGGGCGGCCTCGAGAAACAAGGCGCATGGGATCAACGTCGCGCAGGCTCACCAAACCTGAGCCGCGGATCGGTCCCTTAGTTATATGCATGATCAAGCTGTTGAAGTGTCTCCTTTTGCTCTCTCTCTCTCTCGTGTTGAAAGGGACAGATTGTGAGTTGCGCGAGTGTTTTCTTTTCTTCATAACGTCGCAAGGTTTTTACAATTGATTGATATGTGGACTGACCAATACCCTCCAATCGGGCACCAGCCTCCCATACCTCCCGTCCCAACATGGCCTTTCCCCTACAACGAGGGAAGGACACTTATATGCAAGTGGGACGTATGAGAAGCTGTTGCACAAATCGACGGACGATATTACTTCCCTTCGGCAAATCGTTGTTTAGGGTTCGTGGAGGCAGGGTTTGTCATTATCGATACGCACTTCCCACCTTACTCGATATTGTTGCCATTCAATGAGTTGATCGTCATCCTGTGGACGGCAGTAGAACCCCACTGGCCGCGCACTCTATGCATAGAATGTCGGCGTTTTGAGCGCTACGAATCCAGGGGTTTCCACTACCGTGTGCGGAGTGAAGACGAGCATAAAGAAAGAGCCACACGGGTGAGACCACCCACGTCAGACTCGAAACTGACCAGCGAACAACGGCGAGATTTGATATGTAAAAGAGACACGCGAAGCATGCCGACGCCTTTCCGTTCTAAACGACGGGCTGTAGCCCGGTGGGAAGTCCGACAATACTTTTTGGATTGAATTCGGATTTTTCTCTTTTTGCGCCGTGCCCGCGCGCATTCCGCGACGCGCGAAAGCAACCGGCTTACTTCATCGGACCAACACGGGGGATTCCAGTTCCATCTGTGTCCCCACACTCAATTTCCAAAAATCCTTGGCACACCCTATCTTGCTACTTTTTCTGGGCCTCTTTCCGCACGCCTAACACTCCGAACGAAAGACAGCACAGGGCGTGAGGTTGGTATCGGAGCCGACACGTGTCAGTTCTGATGATAGTAAGTCGAACTGGGGAGAGGTAGGAGAGACCCTCAACTAGCTCGTCGGGATCGCCCAGTGACCAGGTCTCAATCCGGTGCGGTTACACCGCAATGCCGATGGCAGACGGTACTAGGGTGATCGTTAGCATCCCCGCCCCCTTCCCTTTCTTCCCTAACCATACCCATCCCGAGGCTTGGCTGGAAACTGTCGAAGCTCAAAATTACAGCGTAGCCGATCTTCTCCGCGTTCTGACATTGCTACTCTGCAATACGTTGCAAGACTGGTTTATAAAACATACGTGGGTAGATTGGGATACTTTCCAACAAGCCTTCTTGGCTCAATTTGATACTGTCAATGAAGATGCCGCCTGGTACGTGCTCAAAAATCAGCCACAAGGACTCGGGGAATTGTTGCCTGATTTCGTGGATCGATTTCAAACCACGTTGGACAAATCTGGGCGCTATGTTGCACGTAGGCCGCCGCCTGGTTCGGCCATGGCCGGCGTATAATTAATGGAACGGATCGTCCTGAAGCTGGCCCGAAAAAGGCAAAGGATGACCGAACTGGCCCACGATAGACAGGTCCATAGCTACGAGGCTCGGAATGGAAATGTTGGGCCCAAGCATCAATATAAATTAGGGGAGTGCAGGTACGTAAATGTGCACGCGACCGGAAACTCGCTCCCAAGTTTTCTGGTTGTTTTCGCGTTGTCGAGCTCGGACCCAACGGCGCCAACACGGTGCGCATCGCGCCTGAGGCTAGTGCCCGCCATAGCTCTGTCCCCATCGTCTGGCATACCTCCTACCTCCGTCTTCTTCCTCCTGCTGATCTCCCTCCCTCTTCTTTCTCGGAAAGTGAGGAGAACGACGACGATCTAACTCTCTCTCCTCTTTCTCCCTCTTATCCTTCGTCCTCCTCTCCGACCTCGCCACGAGTTTCATCACAGAGCAGGTTCTTGACGTACAGCTGTTGCAGCCACGTTGCCAAATCTCAGAGATTCGGCAAGTTTATCATCCTCGGCTCAATACGGATCTTCGGTGATTGGCGCAATTTTTCGGGCGACGTGGGTATCTGTGCCACCGCCGCGTTTCGGATCGAGGGGAGTCCTCACGCAGTAGTATTTGCGGAAGTAATCGCATTTCATCGGCGAGCGGCTCCCGGAACGAGCTACGTCACCACGGTCGCGGCGTTCAGCGGCGACATCAGTTCGGTCAATCCGCAAAGGCATACCACGATCTTGACTTCACAGCGCGAGTGGACGGAGCAGGTATCCAACGTGTGGCAGCTTGTTCTTGCCCGACCTGGGCACAATCTCATCCCGACCTTTGCGCCGGATCTTGGCGACATCCGCTGTTCTCCGCGCGAGCGGCCAGTTGTGATTCCCACCCTCGTCCCCTTCCCACATCCCCAATGAACCACGCCAATCCTCTGGCTCCTCTCTCTCTCTTTTGTCTCCCCTCTCTCTTCCCCACCTTCTGGCAATCCGATCGTCATCCCTGTCTTTCCTTCTCATTCGAGCCTCTTTCAGTCCCTCTTATCAATCATGGGCAGTGGCGGCTGTGGCGTGAAACTTTTGAGGAGCTGTCTTTTTGCTTGGCCAGAGTACAGCTGACGTGGACGCAGACCAGCGAGCATCCTGCGTGGATCGAAAATCCAGAGCTGCTGATCATCCAAGCTTGGAGGACTAATGTGGAGGGTGATCTTCTTGGCTTTCTCTTTGGATAGGTACAGCCGGGGCGCCGCCAGCTGATTGCACAGGAGCACATCGCGCCGATCGTGCAATTGGCGGACGATCTCTCGCCCGACATCTATTCACAGAGTGACGACAATCCTGCTCCGCACGTTCTCGAGCGATCATTGGATCCATATCTTCAGTGGACTGCGTGCTTGGAGGAGCCAAGGGACATACATACGTTGCCGTCGCGGCAGGAGTATCTGAAGCCGTACGATATCATCCCTCACGCCTTCTATCCGAGGGCAGAGGAAGTGGTGATCGAYGGCGATGAAGAAGAGGACGAAGACGAGGAAACATCGGAGGAGGGAAGCTATAGCGAATATAGCGAGGGCGAGCTGAGTGAAGAAGAAGAGGAGGAAGAAGAAATCGGATCTGAGTGGGAGGCCTTGCCGGAGGAAGCGACGAGCACGGGAACGGAGGTGGAAGATCCGGAAGAGGCGCGAAAGCGCGAAGAAATTGCCACCGGGAAGCGCCAGCTGGAGTTCGCCAGCGAAACCAGCCTGCGCATCGGTAACGATCCGACCAGGGATCCAGAGCCGCCAAAGCCCGAAGATGGCGACCCTGCAGCCGCCACCTCAAGTACTGTGCGACGGAGACGGAGTCGATCCCCCTCCTCCCCCAGCCCCACCCGTCCCTCAGTTCGCCCACGTACAGATGCGGGCGATAGGCCTTCGTCCTCGGATGCTATCCCGCCGACCCCTTGATTTTCTCACCCTCGAACAGATCCGCGACCTGTCACCTTCCCTCCCCATCCCTTCCTCCCCCATCTCTTTCGCGACTTCTACTCTACCCGCCTACTCGCTACCGTCTTCCCCCACGCATCCGCGGCATCCCTTCAACCCGCCGCCCCCACGTTCTGCTGGCATATCCTGCTGATCAGCGCTGCCTGGGAACGATGCAACGTGGTAGAAGTCTACTACGTAGCCACGGGGACAATCCCGCCTATCGCCACTATGAGTTCTTTCGAGCGGCGTTTTTCCGCACCCTCTCCTCCTTCTATCGTGACTACCTCGCTTCCCTCCCTCGCAGCGGCGATCACTTCCCCCACTTCCACCGGATCATCCGATATGAGGAGCTTCCGGTGACGATGGAAGGGATGAATCGCTTCCTACCCCCACTTCCTCCCCGTCGTCCCCGGGAAATCCCCTCCATATACCGCCTCTATTGGCCAATTCCAACTAGGAGGTAGATCCCGTGACTATCTCTTCTTGCCCCCCTCTCCCCTCTTCATCCAATCGGAAGGGGAAAAAGGCACGAATCAGTAAGCTTCGCGAAGATCCCGCCATCAACGATGACGTCAACTCACGTTCTGATTCGACGAGCATCGATAAACTGGGGTGCAGAGCACGCGGAGAACCAGCGGACGATGATGGCGTCACCTGGATGACCATCGAGTAATCCAGTAGTACGAACCAACGAAAGATTGCAATTGAAGTTGGTGTAAACATGGACTCTGGCCGGATCATTTGTTGATACGCTTGGTTCCTCATGCATCACTCTGTTCTCTCCCTCTCTCTCTCCTTCTCCGCTATGACATGCAATCAGGAGATCACATAATTTTGGAACCCCCTCGCGTCACATATGTGACGAACCACTTCCCGAACCCGTGCTATCTTTCGTACCCTTTTTTGCTTGTATCATACCAACCCCATAAAAACCCCGTTTCGTTTCTTTTGATTTTGGGTACCGCGTTTTTGGCTCCCATTTCTCGGAAGCTTTTCCGACTCCTGGGTTCTGCTTTTCCTTTCTGCAATTCGGGAAATACATAAGAAATTACGTGYGCCTTAGCGAGCGCACTAGGAATTGGGCTCGGCAGTTGGGAATTCCGGGATAAGCGGAACGTCGACGTATCCTTTTCTTGTGTGTGAATGTTCTTGGTTGCGTTGTGGGAAAACTCTCGAAATTTTGTACGAATACGAATAGGCGTAGGATTTTTTTTTCCCGCGTCGCTCTTTCGCGCGCGGATATGGTGATTTGAATTTTGAATTAGGATAGAAGCAAGCTGTAACTGTTTCGGTGCCTTTTCTTTTTGTTGACGGCGCCGCGCATGCATAAGCTCTTTCCCCTCTGCCCTCCCGCATCGCTCCCTCCCTCGCTCCCTTCCCCTTCTCCCTCCTCTTTCTCTCTCCCCGTAACTATTTTCCTTCTCTCTCTCTTCTCCCGCTCTGCTCTTTGCGCGTCCATTTCCCTTTCTTGATCATCAGAATCTTGGACCCGTCTTGCGCTACTTCTCGCGCCTTTTCTCTTCTCACCCTCTGAGTCCAACGCACGACGACCGGTCGATCCGTCGATAACTCCCGTTCGCCAATCAGGTGAGTGGATCAATAGGATCTTCCTAGTGCGCAACGAATCTGATTGGTTGAACCTTGAGTTCCGAGGGATCAACATGGCGTTCACAGAGCACTCTTCTCAAAGTCTTCTCCTCCTACTTCTCCTCTTACACCTCAGCTTCCCCGTCGCTTTCTCCCCCTTCTGTCTCCCTTGTCGCAACCATAAAATCCGCAAGCGCGCCCACAAATCTCTCTTACGTTCTCGACTCTCAAGCCAGCTTCCGGGAAGCAGTGGCTAGGCAGAGTGTTTGGTGCGAGTCGGAAATTCCTGTCGGGTTGACGATAGGCTCGCCGTTTGCGCTCTGGATCGCCACGACGGACTGTGGGATCTGGGCGAACCGTGTCGAGTTTACGATAGCGGGTTGACAATCGCCGTCGTGGGAGTTAGCACGAGGCGGCCAGGACCGTCGGTGCGGGTATGAGGATCGATGATTGGAGTTGAGTGAGTGATTGGCCCGGGGCCATA